ACAAATATACTATATTATACTAATATACCATTATATTATTTTCATTGTATATAAATTACAAAATTAATAATTTGTATACTATACTATACTAATATATTATTTATATACTATACTAATAGTATAATATACTATATTATAATATTATTTGAATACAAAATTAATATCTTTATATCTTTATATATAAATATATAAATATATAAATATGGAAAGATATAAATATATGTAAAAATATAAATATATAAATATATGTAAAAATATAAATATATAAATATATGTAAAAATATAAAGATATAAATATATAAAGATACAAATATATAAATATATTAATATATTAATTTAAATATATAAATATATAAATATATAAATATGTAAATATATAAATATATAAATATATAAATATATAAATATATAAATATATAAATATATAAATATATAAATATATAAATATATAAATATATAAATATATAAATATATAAATATATAAATATGAAAATATATAAATATATCAATATTTAAATATATATTAAAATATATAAATATATTAGTATTTATAGATTTTATAAATATATAAAGATATATATATATATATATATATATATATATATATATATATATATATATATATTATATATATATATATATAAGATATAAATATATAAACATTGTAAAGATATAAAGATATAAATATATGTAAAGATATAAAGATATAAAATATAAATATATAAATATATAAATATGTAAAGATATAAATATATATCTTTAATATTTTGTACATGTAAATATAATTTATATATATTTTTAAATCTAATATTTATTTTTAAAAATATAATATTATTTTTAAAATTTAATATTTAAATTTTTATTCTTTTTAAATGTATAAATGTATAAGGATATAAATAAATATATAAATATATAAATATATCAAAATATAAATATATAAATATATCAAAATAAAAATATATAAATATATTAATATATAAATATATTAATATATCAATATATCAATATTATCCCCTCATATATTATTATACATTATTAGCATAATTTTAGTTTATTTAAAAATTAGAATACAAATATATTATATTATATTAATATACCATTATATTATAATAATTGTAATTTATTTTTATTGTGTATAAATTACAAAACTAATAATTTTTAAAAAATTTAATGATAATTTTTTTAACTTATATATTACAGAATATTTTTTAATACTTTAATAAATATAACTTTTTAAAAATATTTTCATCAATTTAAGATATAATTTTTAATATTTTTTGTATTTATTTAAATGTGGATATCTTTAATATTTTGGACATATAAATATAATTTATATATATTTTAATCCTTTTTCTAATATTTATTTTTAAAAATATAATATCATTTTTAATATTTTATAGATTTTATATTTATATATTTATAAAAGTAATTGGATTAAATTTATTATCCACTCATATATTATTATACATTATTAGTGTAATTTTAGTTTAATTAAAAATTAGAATACAAATATACTATACTATACTAATATACCATTATATTATTTTCATTGTATATAAATTACAAAATTAATAATTTGTATACTATACTATACTAATATATTATTTGTATACTATATTAATAGTATAATATACTATATTATAATATTATTTGTATACAAAACTAATATAAATATATAAATATGGAAAGATATAAATATATGTAAAAATATAAAGATATAAATATATGTAAAAACATAAAGATATAAATATATAAAGATATAAATATATAAATATGTAAAGATATAAATATATATCTTTAATATTTTGTATATGTAAATATATTTGATATATATTTTTAAACCTTTTTCTAATATTATTTTTTAAAAATAAAATATTATTTTAAAATTTAATATTTAAATTTTTAATTTTTTCTTAAATATATAAATATATAAAGATATAAGTATATAAATATATAAAGATATAAATATATAAAGATATAAATATATAAATATATAAATATATAATTATATTAATATATTAATATATAAATATGTAAATATATAAATATATAAATATATAAATATATAAATATATAAATATATAAATATATAAATATATAAATATATAAATATATAAATATATAAATATATAAATATATAAATATTTAAATATATAAATATATTTGTATTTATAGGTTTTATAAATATATAAAGATATATATATATATATATATATATATATATATATAGATATAAATATATAAATATATAAATATATAAAGATATAAATATATGGAAAGATATAAAGATATAAATATATGTAAAGATATAAAGATATAAAATATAAAGATATAAATATATAAATATGTAAAGATATAAATATATATATCTTTAATATTTTGTACATGTAAATATAATTTATATATATTTTTAAATCTTGTTGTAATATTTATTTTTAAAAATATAATATTATTTTTAAAATTTAATATTTAATTTTTTTTTAAATATATAAATATATAAAGATACAAATGTATAAGGATATAAATAAATATATAAATATATAAATATATCAAAATATAAATATTTAAATATATAAATATATAAATATAAAAATATAATATATATATATATATATATATAAATATATCAATATTATCCCCTCATATATTATTATACATTATTAGCGTAATTTTAGTTTAATTAAAAATTAGAATACAAATATATTATATTATATTAATATACCATTAAGTTATAATATTTGTAATTTATTTTTATTGTGTATAAATTACAAAACTAATAATTTTTAAAAAATTTAATGATAATTTTTTTTTAATTTATATATTACAAAATATTTTTTAATACTTTAATAAATATAACTTTTTTAAAATATTTTCATGAATTTAAAGTATAATTTTTAATAATTTTTATTATTTTTTTAAATGTGGATATCTTTAATATTTTGGACATATAAATATAATTTATATATGTTTTAAAACCTTTTTCTAATATTTGTTTTTAAAAATATAATATCATTTTTAATATTTTATAGATTTTATATTTATATATTTATAAAAGTAATTGGATTAAATTTATTATCCCCTCATATATTATTATACATTATTAGCATAATTTTAATTTAATTAAAAATTAGAATACAAATATACTATACTAATATACCATTATATTATTTTCATTGTATATAAATTACAAAATTAATAATTTGTATACTATACTATACTAATATATAATTTGTATTCTATACTAATAATATAATATACTATATTATAATATTATTTGTATACAAAACTAATATCTTTATATATGAATATATAAATATGGAAAGATATAAATATATGTAAAAATATAAAGATATAAATATATAAATATATCAATGTATAAATATATTAATATTTAAATATATATTAAAATATATAAATATATTTTTATTTATACCTTTTTATATTTATATATTTATACGGATATACATTTATTTGTATATAAATATAATTTATTTGTAAGTTATTATTAAAAAATCCTAGTAGTTCGAGTGGTTGGAGTTTCATCCTCCAACTCTAAGGTACCGAGGTTTGAATCCTAACAATGATAATAAATACTTGTAATAAGTTAAACATCTAAACAATATAATATAAATAAAAATAATTAATTTTGTTATTGATTTAACGATCGATTTAAATCGGTCGTTATTTTTTAACTTTGTCACCGATTTAGCGACCAATTGGATATATTAATTTCGGTCGCTATTTTGCGATCGAAATAAAATCGGTCACTAACACATTAGCGACTTGGCTTTTGCGACGACACTTTTCGGTCGCTAATTTCGATCACTAACTGATTAGCGACCGATTTTTTGACATTAGCGACCGAAAATCGGTAACTAAAATGAATTTTTTTGTAGTGATGATTCTAATATTTTTATATACATATATTTAATTTTTAATAATGATATTTTTCATGTAACAAATTCATAAATTGAATTAATATACAAATATTTTTAAAATTTGAATGGTAATTAATCAACTTTTTAACATGCAAGACCAAAATTAAGTTTTAAGAAAATTAAATTTAATTAAAACCTTTAAACTAAGAAGAATATATAAAGAACTGACATGAAATTTGTTTAAAAATAGTTTATATTTATAATTAGTCATGAATGAATATTGAAGAATAATTTTGGATGAAGAAATATCATATAATTAATAAATAATAAAAAATATGAAAAAAAGAATATAAAATATAAAATAATTTTTATTTAATATATTTAATAATTTATTGTAATATTTATTAAAAAATAAAATTAAACTAAAATTGTAAATATAAAAATAAAAATGTTTAATAATAATTAAATTTAAAGAATAAAAATTGTAAATATCTTACACCATCATCTCCTCAAACCTCGATAAAAGCTTCCGATTCCTTATAATATTGTGTACATTTTTATCTATTATAACACCAGTGATAATAAAAATAATTAATGAAAAGTTTGTCATCATGCAAAAAAAAAAAAAATCTAATAAACAATGGCACAATTAGGAATAATAGAAAATAAAGAGGCTCAAAAAAATAAAAAAGAATATTGCAAAATTAACGTTTTAATTATTGATTTTGGGTGGAATAATATATTAATAATAAATAATAAATAAATATAAAAAGATACAATATAAAAAAATAAAATTATAAATATATAAATAAATATATTAAATAATTATTTAAGAACTAAAAAAGTTTTAAATAAAACTTTTGACGATAAAATTTTGAAGAAGATTTGGCACTGATTAATATTTAACAAACAACTAAATTTTTAATTCATATTTTTATTTGCATAATATACATAAGGCATGGACCTTAAATTCGTTGGCTTTGTCAAGCCGACACTTATTTAATTTCTTCTTGGACAAATTACCTTATTTCAAACATAAAAGGAAAGAAGATACAATATATATGAAGAACAGAAAAGAAAACAAACTTAAACACCATTAATTCAAGACACCCATATGAGATGTCAAGGTTTATGTCCAAACGAGTGTAATTGAGGTTGAAGATGAAGTGGTACTTTCTTGATGACAGTGAGTCCCCAAATCTCACTCATATCTACATCTTGCATTGGTGCACCATTCTCAGGAATCTTCCAATCAAACCAGTAGAGGAGATTAGCAAGCATAAGCTCAGTGGAAGCAAGTGCAAATGAAATTCCAATGCACCCCCTTCTCCCAGAACCGAAGGGAATCAACTGAAAATCATTTCCTCTAAAGTCCACTACTGTCTGATTTTCAAATCTCTCCGGAAGGAACTCTTCAGGCCTGTTCCAAATTTCAGGGTCCCTCTGAATCGCCCATGCATTCACAAACACTCTTGTTTTGGATGGAATATCAAAACCTTTGACTTTCACATCAGATAAAGTTTCTCTGGGTATCAATAGAGGAGCAGGTGGATATAACCTCAGAGTTTCTTTCACTACACATTTCAGATAATTCATTTGATTTAAATCATTTTCATCCACTTTTAATTTATTCCCAACAACTCTTCTTACTTCTTCTTGGGCTCTCTTCATGGTATCAGGATTATTCAAGAGCGCCGCAAATATCCATTCCAGAAGTGTTGAAGTAGTATCACTTCCTCCAGCAAATATGTCCTGAAATTGTGAAAATGGAAACATTCCTTAAGAGGAGTTGTTTATGGATTCTTAGACATTTAAGCATTGGGATGCACATTTTATTAAGGATGTATCATTGAAGAGAGAGAGAGAGAGAGAGAGAGAGAGAGAGAGAATTTTTAAAATTTGTAATCTTAATTAATTAGGTAATGACGTGATTGCATCATTTGAAGATGGTCTTGCGTGCGTAAATTAAACTCAGAGAGAGAAAAACAAACGTATGTACCATTAGGATTGCCTTGACGTCATCATGTGTGAGCTGAAAATTATGCTTTCCTTCACCATCTTGAATTTGAAGGAGTGTGTCCACGAAGTCTTTGTTCTGAGATTGGTAACTGTCCCTCTTCATTATTCTCCTGCGTTCGTCAATTAACTGATCAAAGAAAGCATCTAATGCATGGAAAGTGGCCTTGAATTCTGGTATGTAGCCAGTAAGAACGTCAATCCAACCTAACGAAGGAAAGTAATCTCCCACAGTGAAAGTGGCCAAGTGTTTCATCATCTTCCTTCCTAGCTCTCCAAAGCTGATACTACCATCTGGGGTATCATACTTTTGTCCAAGAATACATCTAGACATTATGTTGTTCGAGGTTTCAATCAGCATCTCACTCAGATTCACGCAAGAAGGCCTTTTACTTGCGCTGCATGCTGCACGTATGGCACCAAGCATCGCTGTAACTTCTTCTTCTCGAATTGACTGAAAGGATTGCACCCTTTTTATGCTAAGAAGCTCAAGAACACATATCTTCCTTTTCTGTCTCCACTCTTCTCCGTAGGGTGCAAAAGCCACGTCCATGCAGCCATACATGATGATTTTCACGGCTGTGGTCTGAGGCTTATTGGAGAAAGCAACATCGTGGGTTTTGTATATTTCTTTGGCCACATCAACTGATGAAACCACAAGAGTTGGAGTTTGGCCTAATTGCAGAAACATGAGAGGACCATACTTGCGAGAGAGTGCTTGGAAAGAGCGGTGTGGGAGAGTGCCTAGCTGATGAAGATTTCCAATTATGGGTAGTTTTGGTGGGGAAGGTGGCAAATTGGACTTGCTTCTTCTTCTTTGGTTAAGCACAAAAACGAGGCTTATGATCAAGAAGAACAAAATGGCCAAGTAACTGGTGTTTGGTTCGTTTGGCGATTGCCTTAAAAGTGATGATGATGGATGAACTTGAAGAACCATTTCTTCTAGAGTCATTTGGATTTTCCTAAGGTAGGTGCCTATGCATCATCCATAACCATGGTTGAGAATTTATAGAATGTCATTAATGGATAACATCCGAGATATCTATCATGAAAAACATGCATAAACCGAAATATTATCCTTTTCAATAAAATAATATCGGGTACAAGAGTTCATACAGTTTTCACGTTTAGTTCTTGTATATATTTAAAAAATGTACTGGGCATGCACATTTTTTTCATATTTGTTTGTGTCCTTTTATTAATGGAAAAATTACGTGTCTTGACGGAAAGTTTATAATCTTATCTATTAAATAATATTAGAATAATAAAATATATATAATATGTAACGGCTATAAAAAAAAAGTCGTATGACTCAAAAGATCCAAAAAGAAATAGTTCATCTTAAGTCAACAAATTTCTACTTTAATTTAATTGTGTATTTTATAATTTAAAAGATATTCATTTTAAAAGTTAATCAAACATGCATCTAAATATATATATATATATATATATATATATATATATATATATATATATATATATATATATATATATATATATATAAAATAGCATAGTCTTGGTATAATTTGAGATTCTTAATGCCCTAACATAATCATCCTAAAGATTAAAAGCATTATACACGTGCTTAGTATTATTTTTTTTTTCTCCTAATTGGTTTATGTTGAGATGATTTGCATGGGTCATATAAACATTGAACATTCTTTTGATGACGAATGATTTAGATATGGTTGGATAATAATGTTCAAATAAATGCAAATTTACGTGTTCAAAAAATAAAAATCACGTGCTTAATAATTTAAAAAACTTCGCTAATTATATTAAATTGACATCTATTCTAATTAAATTTCTTATAATATACTATAACATCTATTCTAATATATTTCAATGATAGTTTAATTACCATTTTAATGTAAGATGTAGATATTTATATATTTTATTTAGAATTTTATAATTTCTTTGATTTTGTTTATATGTTTTATTTAGAATTTAAACTATTTTCTCAACACGTAATATATTTTAATCCAAGCTAATGTCCAAAAAGATGACGTATGCTGGCTACTAATTTTAATGGAATAATTAATGCATAGCACGAGTAACAAGACACTGATCCTTTCATTTCATGGACAAAGCTAAGCAATAACTTTGGTACAATAAAAATATAAACGTTATTCAAATCATACATCTTAAGATGTGAAGTCTTGGTATTTTTAGTATTTATAAGTGAGAATTGATAAAATATTAAGAGATTATTTGTTTATTATCATAAAAATAAAATTTAATTTTGTAAAAAAATTATTTATTATTTTTAAAAATAGGTTTGAAAGTTATTGTCAATGTATAATTAAAAAAAAAACAGGTAAAATATAACTTGTATTTTGATTAATTATACTATAAATCGAGTTTTATTGTATATTAATATTAGTTATTATCGGTAAAAATACATCTACTAAGTGTCTACATATTTATATTCTTTTATGATTAGTTTCTTTTAAAATACTATTTTATTTATTTTAATAAAATATATTTACTTTTTGTATATTATATTTTTATTATTTTTTAAATATATAAATTATAATAATATTTTTTTAAAATTAATATATTTTTATTTTCTTTCTTGTGGTTAAAAAGGAAATTTCATTTATATATAATTATAGATTAAAATCGTTTTTCAATCTTCATGGTATCATTTTTTTTTTATGATTGAGATCATTCTTTCTTGTTTTAAATGAGTCTAACCTTTTTGTAATTGCATTTCACTGTGAAATTGGAGGACTTTTAGGATGTTCCTTCTTCAAGTTGGATTGGTGAAAGGATTTATTTAACATTTTCTAAATTGTTAGAAAACAAAATTAAATCACTCATTTTCAAATGTACATCTCGTTTCATTATTTAAGATGTCGGGCACATAATACATTAGTCAAGGACAGTTTGTTTGTTTCATATTTTTTAATCAAACCTTTTTTATAATAATAACTGTATCTTTAAAAAACCTCATATAGATGCATGTATGTGTTACAATAAAAAAATATGGAAAGGATCATTTTTAAGAATGATAATCGTATTAATAGAAATTTTTTTATATTACTATTTAATGGATTTATTAATTTAAATTAAAATCACAATGAGGTAAGACATTTCGTATTTCTCTTTATTAAAAAATAGTAAAAAATTAAGAAAAATGAATAGAAAAAGAGAAAGAAGGAAGAAGTCAGTGAAGGTCCGTTGAGTGCTTTTAAGTGAAACTTTTGTATTGAAGAATTTTAATATATTAAAAAAATGAGCGAGCACATATATACATAAAAAACGAAACATAACTAAAAATAAAAAAAATAAAAAAAATGATAACAAGTACTGAACGTAGGTAAAAAGCATGCAGTGTTGTGAAAACACATGGAAATATATGTTTTTCATTCTCAACTTTTACCGATGAACTTTGTGGAAGCAAGCCATCTTGTGAATAAATCGGCAACTTGCAAAGTAGATGAAATAGGAAAAATGTTGAATAATTGACAAGTGTATCAATATTATTAATCATAATATAATATTTTGATTAAATAAAAGTCAATCTCACGAGAAATTTAAAAAGGGCGTTGTGAGGTGTTAACACTTTCTTCATACTGAACTAACTCTCTTACCAAACTCTAGTTATAATGGATAAAGTTGATTTTTCTAAACCAATGCTTTTTTTTTTCCTTTTTCAATATTTATAGTTTAAAAATTAGTGGCGACTCCATAAAAACCCTTTTTGAAAACCTCACTTTTAGGGTCAGTTCGGTTATCGAACATCCTAAAAGTGATGACCATTTATTTTATGAAAATGCGAGTCACAAATCATAGTGTCGCGGCCGCTCGTACATATCGTTCCCCCTCTAACGGAGGGGATGACAATGACAGATGACGACTCTGTTGGGGAAACCTAGAAAGTTAATCACATTTAGTGATGAATTAATTCAAAATAAAATAAAAGATTTGAGATTACGCTTTTACCCTTCTTTGTATGAATAACATGTTTTATCTGTATGGCTTTAATAACTGTTGTATGTTTATTTCCGCAATTGTTTGAAATAAAAATTATACATAACCATTACACATAATAGTCCCTCTATACCCGAGGGCATGAGCAATAAATATTAGGGAGTGGGTGGTATGTACGACCGACTGTGGTAATGGCCTTAGTGCCAGCAGGTTGTTGTCGGAAACCACCACTCAAGGTGATAACCCTCTTTTCTCAGTCTGCAGGACGTCGACACGGCCTTGAGCCACGTAAGGTTTGAGGGCTGAGAGACCGTGGAAACCCTATAATGGGGGCACCTTGGAGACCTGACCTTGGTGAGAATAGTTAGAACCTACCTTGCTAATGCACTTTTTCTGTAGGATACCCCTACCTCGTGATTAAACGTCGTCACTCTGTTCGTGGATGAGTGAATTGTTTGAGCATATGGTTGTTGCATTTGTTTGATTGCATTAGCGTAAAATGATCATACAATAGCAAAAATAAATAAAAAATCTTAAAACATAAAATATAAAAAATAATAATAAAAGATGTCTAACATGCTCTATTAGGTCCAACATCTCAAAATCTTATTTCGAACTTTTCTTGCTATAACCAATTTTATCTCGGACAGTCTTCATTTAAGCTAGACTGGTTTCAGGTTCTTTGAAAGCTAAGTAACCACGTTGACTAACAGAAGAGATAAGGAGTTATAAAAACAAACAAAAACTTTTTTTACTACAACCAACTTTATCTCGGATAATCTTCATTTAAGCTAGTCTGGTTTCAGGTTCTTTGAAAGTTAAGTAGCCACGTTGACTAACAGAAAAGATAAGGAGTAATAAAAACAAACAACAGAAAACAAAAAACAAAATTTGATAAAACGATTTTGACAAAGTGAAATCATTCATACCCTCATCATTTCAGGAGTGATAAAACCAAGAGAGAAAATAAATGCATAAGGAAAGAATGCATACACATCATCCTAATAACTCTCTCATGCATAAACACATTCATTCTAGGGGGTACTAGATATCCTTAAGACAAAGACAAAAGAGACCCAAGTGCGTTTGTAACATTCGTCGTACTTATCAATCTATGACAAAGAAGGGACAAGTGTGCTAAGGTGTGGTAACCTTCATTATACTTGTCAATCCATGATGAGGAAGGAACCATTACACCGAGGTGGGTGTGGTGCTCCATGAAGCATAAGCTTTAAGGAGAATACCAAAACTATTGTCTTAAGGCATATCCATCCCATATTAATCATTTATTCATTTCAAAAATAAAAATCCTTTAATTCATGTGCATTTTAGAAAGTGGCTGGTCTTCTTCTTGTCCTCACCCACGTGCAAAAAGCCAAAAAGATGGAGCAACTGGAAGAGCAAAACTGCAAGCTCATTACTGAGCTTAATGCCATGAAGGAGCAGATGACGCAGTTAAGGGAGCGATTAAAGGAACAAAACCACAAGCTCACCACTGAGATTAATTTTGTTAAGGAGCAAGTGATGCAGTTAATGAAGCTAATGCGCCAACAACACCTCCACAATGAGGGCCCCCACAATGACCATATCAGCAAAAAAGTGGAGCAAGAACCAAAGAGTGGGAGGATTGCGCAACTTCCTCATCCGGTGCATCATTCAAGAAGTTCTTTGGCAAGAAGGAGGAGAGAAGCATGAACGCCATCAACCTTGCTACTCCTTCCTCCTCTTCGCAACCAACTAGGTAGTCTCGTAAACAAGAGAGAAAATTCACTCTCATTCCAATCTCCTATGGGAGTCTGCTACCAAAACTGTTAGAGGCCAAGATCCTAGCACGTGTTCCTCCGAGAAAGACGGATCCACCCTACCCCGAGTGGTACAAGCCTAAAGAAAAATGTGATTATCACTCTACCCTCCTGGGTATTTTGTGGAGGATTGCTTGACCTTGAAGTATAAGGTTCAAGAATTTTTGAATGCCGAGTGGATCACTTTTGACGCTCTTGCTCCCAATGTTAATAT